GTAGAGGGAGCTTTACCCTGTAACTAACCCTGTGTTGGCCCTGTCCTGGGAGTGTTTGATAGAGGACAGTGTAGAGACAGCATTACTCTGTATCTAACCCCGTGCTGTCCCTGTCCTTGCAGTGTTTGATGGGAACAGTGTAGAGAAAGCTTTACTCTATATCTAACCCCACGCTGTCTCTGTCCTGTAGTTGTTCGATGGGGACAGTGCAGAGGGAGCTTTACTCTGTAGCTAACCCCGTGCTGTCCCTGTCCAGGGAGCGTTTGATGGGGGGGCAGTGTAGAGGTAGCTTTACTTTGTATCTAACCCCGTGCGGTCCCTGTCCTGGAAGTGTTTGATGGGGACAATATAGTGTGAGCTTTTATCTGCACCTAACCACATGCTGTCCCTGTCCTGGGAGTGTTTGATGGGGGACAGAGTAGAGAGAGTTTTACTCTATATCTAAACCCATGCTGCCCCTGTCCTGGGAGTGTTTAATGGGGGACAGTGTTGCGGGAGCTTTACTCTGTATCTAACCCCATGCTGTCCCTGTCCTGGGAGTGTTTAATGGGGGACAGTGTTGCGGGAGCTTTACTCTGTATCTAATCCCGTGCTGCCCCTGTCCTGGGAGTGTTCAATCCAATGATATAGAGAGAGCTTTAGCCCGTATCTAATCTGTTTGTTTTAGAAGAGTGGAAGGAATTTAGATGCATGTATCTACTTACCTGCAGGTTCCACACACTTTTACTGTCCTTGGAAATTTTTTCCACCGTCTTGCTCATCAATGCAATCAACATATTGAGAAGGAGGATATATGTCAGGATGACATAAGATATCAGCAGGAAGATGAAAACCTCTTTAAATCTGTAGTTCTCGGTGAACTCCAGATCTCCCATCCCGATAGTGAACCGGAAAAGCTCCAAGAAGGTTGTTTTAAAATTCTTGTACGTAGTTTCCTTGTCACATCCTGGTTTGGTGTTATTGTAAACACGGTCTTCAATAAGCACCACCAGAGCTGAGTGGAGAAAGTCAGAGGGTTGAGTGGGTTGCCTTAAGGACATACTCATATTGGAGGCAATTCAGAGAAGATTCATCTCTTATTTTTTGGACGAGGGGCTTCTCTTATGAGGAAGGGATGAGGGGGCCTACACTAGTTGTAATTTGAACAATGAGAGGTGACTTTATTGAAACAGATGTGTGTCAGAGAGGATTTGACAGGATGGATACTCAGGATGATTCACCTCAGGGGATCTGAAATGAGGGGACATGTTTTAAAGATAATTTGGAGATGAGGACGTTTGTCTATCACAATCATGAATCTTTCTTTTCCGCAGTGATGATTGGCTCATTCAGCTTACTCATGGCTTAGTAAGACATATTTGATCAACAAAGGAGCCAAGGGTATGGAGACAGTCAGGAAAGTGGAGTTGGGGCCCCAAATAAAGCAGCCCTGGTTTATTCAATGGAGGAGGTAGTTCAAAGGGCCGAATGGCCTCCTCTGCTCATCTTTTTACATTGCAAGTTGCTTGTATCCTGTAACTGTTATCATCTAACATTGTCTCTGTTATGAGGAGAGATTGAGGAGTTTAGGCCTATACTCGCTAGAGTTTAGAAGAATGAGAGGAGACCTAATTGAGGTATGCAAGATGCTACAGGGGATTGACAAAGTAGATGCACATGTTTCCTCATGCGTGACAATCTAGAATGAGAGGTCGTGGTTTAGGCTAAGGGGTAGCAGATTTAAAACAGAGATGACGAGGAATTACTTTCTCTCAAAGGGTCATGAATCTATTGAATTCACTATCGCAGAGAGTGGTGGATGCTGGGACAGTGAATACATTTGAGGAGGAAATAGACAGATGTTTAATTAGCAATGGGTTGTAGGGTTGTGGTGGGTGAGCAATAAGTGGAGTTGAGGCCAAGATGAGATCAGCCATGATCGTATTAATTGGTGGAGTAGGCTTGAGGGGCTGAATGGCCTACTCCTGTTCATAGTTCTTATGTTCTCCTATTGAACCCTCCACCACTAAACACCACATTCCAACCAATTACAGCAGTGACCAAATCACCACAGCCAGTTGGAAAGTCATTAGACTTTTTGTGTTCTGTTTGGAGGATTCTTGTCTTTGGGTCAAACAGCCATTTTCCCCAATCTCCAATCAGTAAACAAATGGATGCAGTAAAATAGAAAATCTCGCTCGATTTGTTTGAATTCCCCTGGTTTCTTTTTTTCCCCCAGAGTCTGTGGGGTTCATTTTCGAATCCTGGAGACTGCAGAACAAACCTGGAGGGTTGGCAACCCCTTCTCCTCTATGCAGAGATGTTCAGATTACCACATAAACCTGTTCAATAGCAAACAAGAACCTCAGCTTTTACTAATAAAGAAACACAGAAACCACTAGATAGATCTCAGCTGGAGTAACATGTCAAATTCTGGACAAAATTTGTGGCTGGATGTCAAGATCTTGCAGGTTTCCCAGTATGGTACCAGGTCCAAGGGATTTGAGTGAATGTAAAGTGACTGGAGAAGCTGGGATTGTTCTCCTTGGAGCAGAAGATAATATGACAGAGTTGAAGGAGGTTTTTGAAATAATTGGGACCAACTAATTTCAGTAACTGGAGGGTTAGTAGCCAGAGGCCACACATTGAAGGTAATTGGTCCAGGCAGCAGCATGGGGGACTGGCAGCATGGGAGCAGTGAATGTGCTGTTGCTACCCTGGCACTGTGCGTTGCAGTTGGCAACACTCCACATTAACCACTCTGGCATGGGATGACTTAGCCACTTCCTTCAACAGAGAGAGGGAGAATGAAATGCAGTAAAACTCACCAGCTCCAAACCCAAAGAGGAAGACCACATAGACAAGCAGAAAACTCATAATATCTGTCAGGAAAATCTGTAATAAACACATGGAACACAGATTAATCAGTGAATGCAAACAACATTCGAAATGTTCACTCATGCTCCTGTTCACAAACATATGAGAAATGTGTATGTACTCACATCTTTAACAAACACAACCTTTGTGTACCCATGCTCACACATACAGCATGGCAGCAAACACATGCACACACAGACATGTACATGCAAACAAGTGTCCACACGTGTACATACGCACACGTACACACAAACAAGTGTCCGCTGCACACTCCCCTCCAGCTCCACTACACCCGGCACTTTTCCCTGCAACCGCAGGAAGTGCTACACCTGCCCCCATACCTCCTCCCTCAACCCCATCCCAGGCCCCAAGAAGACTTTCCACATCAAGCAGATGTTCACCTGCACATCTGCCAATGTGGTATACTGCATCCGCTGTACCCGGTGTGGCCTCCTCTACATCGGGGAAACCAAGCGGAGGCTCGGGGACCGCTTTGCAGAACACCTACGCTCGGTTCGCAATAAACAACTGCACCTCCCAGTCGCGAACCATTTCAACTCCCCCTCCCATTCCTCAGACGACATGTCCATCCTGGGCCTCCTGCAGTGCCACAACGATGCCACCCGAAGGTTGCAGGAACAGCAACTCATATTCCACTTGGGAACCCTGCAGCCCAATGGTATCAATGTGGATTTCACAAGTTTCAAAATCTCCCCTCCCCCTACCGCATCCCAAAACCAGTCCAGCTCGTCCCTGCCTCCCTAACCTGTTCTTCCTCCCACCTATCCCCTCCTCCCACCTCAAGCCGCACCTCCATCTCCTACCGACTAACCTCATCCCGCCCCCTTGACCTGTCCGTCCTCCCTGGACTGACCTATCCCCTCCCTAACTCCCCACCTACACTCACCTTTACCGGCCCCATCCCCGCCTCTTCGACCTGTTTGTTTCCTCTCCACCTATCCTCTTCTCTATCCATCTTCTATCCGCCTCCCACTCTCTCCCTATTTATTTCAGAACCCCCTTCCCCTCCCCCTTTTCTGATGAAGGGTCTAGGCCCGAAACATCAGCCTCTCTGCTCCTATGATGCTGCTTGGCCTGCTGTGTTCATCCAGCCCTGCACCTTGTTGTCTCGGATTCACCAGCATCTGCAGTTCCTACTATCTCTGATTCAAGTGTCCAAACAGGTGCTCACACATATGTGCACACAAAAACATGCACATATACAAACATGTTCACATAAACACATAAATACAAATGTTTACATGTGTAAACACACACAGTGTTCACCCACATGTACATAATGCGACACACTCTAAATGGAGTGCACATTACAGCTTTGCAAAGACCATTTGGTGGTTGTTCCGAGGGAGGCAAGAGCCGCAGAATTACATTGGGTTGGGGACTTCAATCTCCGTCAGGCATGTCTCAGTAGCACTTCCACTATCTGAGTCTGTCTGACACATCTGTTCCAGATAGCAATCAATCTACACGAGAAAATAACTTCTGCCAATTCTGGCCTCTTGTACATCCTGGGTTTAAATTATTTCATCACTGGCCACCATTCCCTCAGCTTCCTGTACATTTGCTTTGAAATTTCCTCCTTAAACTACTCTATATCGCTATACTCTATATCTATGTTGCTTAAATCCCAGTTCTTTGACCAAGCTTTTAGACACCTGTCCTAATGTCTCCTAATCTGTCTCAGTGTCAAATTATAGTTTGATAACAACCCTATGAAGGACTTGGTGAAGGAGGCTGTCTAAATGTAACTTCTTGTTGTTGTAATATTGCACTTACTTTCTGCATCATGACACTATAGATGCCCATTCGCTGGAATCCGCGTGTGTAATAGAGTAGATTGATCCAGCCTATTGCCAGCCCGATCACCATAAATCCAACATACTCTTCTCGTCCAACTACATACAGCACAGAAGAGCCCAGGAGCAGCACTGCCTGAAGAAAACTGTAAAATGAAAGAAACAGATGCACTCTTTCTGAAAACATTGTGTTGAACGAGTGAGTGTTTAATGCTGTGATTGCACACCTTCCCCTGGCCAGTAAAGGTGTAGAAAAGTGACACCCCTCAGCTGGGAATGCTATTCACCCAATAGTGGCACTGTGGAAACAGGAGGCAGGGATTAGGCCACGGTTACCGAAGTCCCAGATAACACAGGATCAAGACCAGGAAGAAGCCCTGCTCATCCCCCACATCAACAGGAAACCTGGAGATTCTTCTGACTTCTGTTTTCATACATTGTCCCTTCCCCAGCCTCCAATCCCAGCACATTCCTCCACACTGTTCTTTTTCCACAAAGATACCACGGGTCTGTGTCTTTGTTTTTATTCATTCACGGGATGAGGGCATCGCTGGCCAGGCAGCATTTATTGCCCATCCCTAATTGCCCAGAGGGGAGTTAAGAGTCAACCACATTATTGTGGGTATGGAGTCACATATAGGCCAGGCCAGGCCAGGTAAGGATGGCAGTTTCTTTCCCTAAAGGACATTAGTGAACCCGGTGGGATTTTCCAACAATCGGCAATGGATTTGTGGTCACTGTTAGACTCTGTAATTCCAGATATTTATTGAATTCAAATTCCACCATCTGCTGTGGCAGGATTCAAACCCAGGTCCCCAGGACATTACCTGAGTCTCTGGATTAACAGTCCAGCGACAATACCACTAGGCTATCACCTCCCCATTTTATTCACCAGAATGATACCAGGACTCAGTGTGTTAAAATTATGAGGACTGATTGCAGAAACTGGACCAGTATTCAAAAAAAGCCAAAGAACAGCAGATGCTGGAAATCAGAAACACCATTCTGAAGAAGGGTCACTGGCCCTGAAACGTTAACTCTGCTTTCTCTCCAGAGATGCTGCCAAACCCTTTGGACTAGAATTCACTTGTGTACAGAATAGTAAGGAATGATCAGAGATTGTGATGATAGAGTCATACAGCACAGAAACAGACCCTTTGGTCCAACACGCCGACCAGATATCCTAAACTCATCTAGTCCCATTTGCCAGCATTTGGCCCATATTCCTCTAACTCTTCCTATTCATTTACCCTTCTAGGTGCCTTTTAAGTGTACCAGCCTCCACCACTTCCTCTGCCAGCTCGTTGCAAACTCTACCCCACCCTCTGTGTGAAAAAAGTTGCCCCTGTCCCTTTAAATCTTTCCCCTCTCACCTTAAACCTATGCCCTAGTTTTGGACACCCCTACCCTGGGCAAAAGACTTTGGCTATTCACCCTATCCATGCCCCTCATGATTTTATAAACCTCTATAAGGTCACCCCTCAGCCTCCGATGCTCCAGGGAAAATAGCCCCGGCTTATTCAGCCTCTCCCTGTAGCTCAAACCCTCTAATCCCAGCAAAATCCTTGTAAATCTTTTCTGACCCTTTCAAGTTTAACAACATCTTTCTTATAGCAGGGAGACCAGAACTGAACACAGTATTCTAAAAGTGGACCAAATAATATCCTGTACAGCTGCAACAATGACATTCCACTCCTATACTCAATGCACTGACCAATAAACGCAAGTATACCAAACATCACCTTCACTACCCTGTCTACCTGTGATTCTGCTTTTAAGGAACTATGACCCTGCGCTCCTAGGTCACTTTGTTCAGCAACACTCCCCGGGACCTTACCATTAAGTGTATAAAGTCCTGCCCTGATTTGCCTTTCCAAAATGCGGCACCTCACATTTATCTAAATTAAGCTCTATCTGCCGCTCCTCGGCCCATCGGCCCATCTGATCAAAGCCCTGTTGTACTCTGAGGTAACCTTCTTGGCTGTCCACTACACCTCCTATTTTGGTGCGATCTGCAAACTTACTAACTATATCTCCTATATTCACATCCAAATCATTTATATAAAAGACAAAAAGCAGTGGACCCAGCACCGATCCTTGTGACACACTGCTGGTCACAGGCCTCCAGTCTGAAAAGCAACCCTCCACCACCCTCTGTCTCCTACCATCAAGCCAATTTTGTATCCAGTTGGCTAATGTTTAAAGGATTCAATGGAGATAAATTGAGAGAAACAATTTCCGCTTGTTTAGTGATGGTGGTGGTTGGGGGGAGGAGAACGTGAGTTCAGAACAAGGGGCAGAAATGAAAATTCAAGCCAGGCCATTCAGGGCTGGTGTCAGGAAGCATTTCCTCACACACACGGGAGTGGAACTCTGGAACATTCTCTCTTAAAATGCTGCTGAGCCTGAGCTCAACTGAATATGTCAAAACTGATATCCGTAAGTTTTTGAGCCAAGCTATTAAGAGGTAAGGAACAAAAGAGGATACAGGGAGTGAATGGAACAGGCTAGAATGAACGATGCTCTTTTATTAATTCAGTGGATTTGGGGATCGCATCTGCACCAGCATTTATTGCCTGTCCCTAGTTGCCCTTGCTGATGGTAATGAACTGCCTTCTTGAACCGCTGGAGTCAATGTGCTGTAGGTGCATTCACATTGCCCCCAGGGAGGGAATTCCAGAGTTTTAGAGATAACAAGGTGTAGAGCTGGATGAACACAGCAGGCCAAGCAGCATCATAGGAGCAGGAAGGCTGACGTTTCGGGCCTAGACCCTTCTTCAGAAATGGGGGAGGGGAAGGGGGTTCTGAAATAAATAGGGAGAGAGGGGGAGGCGGATAGAAGATGGATAGAGGAGAAGATAGGTGGAGAGGAGACAGACAGGTCAAAGAGGTGGGGATGGAGCTAGTAAAGGTGAGTGTAGGTGGGGGGTTAGGGAGGGGATAGGTCAGTCCAGGGAGGATGGACAGGTCAAGGGGGCGGGATGAGGCTAGTCGGTAGGTGATGGGAGTGGGGCTTGAGGGGAGGAGGGGATAGGTGGGAGGAAGGACAGGTTAGGGAGGCAGGGACAAGCTGGGCTGGTTTTGGGATGCGGTAGGTGGAGGGGAGATTTTGAAGCTTGTGAAGTCCACATTGATACCATTGGGCTGAAACCAATATCCATTTCAAGCCACTGGTACCTAGAATACACCTCCTCCCACCCAACTTCCTGCAAAAATGCCATCACCTATTCCCAATTCCTTCGCCTCCACCCCATCTGCTCCCAGGATGAGGCATTCCACTCCCGAACATCTCAGATGTCCTCGTTTTTCAAGGACCGCAACTTGCCCCCTCAGTGGTTGAGAACGCCCTCAACTGTGTCTCCCGCATTTCCCGCAACTCATCCCTCACACCCCCTCCCCACAATAAC